AGTCGAACTTCCTAACCACCAGGTCATGCCAAAACATCTCTGAAGACAGTTATTTCAAATGGCTCATGAGGGAAAAATTCCATCACCAGGTGGATATTACTTAGGGCAACATATTATGAAGATTCTGGTATATTTTCTTATTCACAAACCTACCTAAATTTAACTACATGAACATAAAGTACCGCATTCCAGTATCGCATATCTGATTGCCACAAGCCTTTTCTAGAAAGATTCGTTCTTAAAAATTTATACATGTATATGACATCATCCTTTTTTTCTATAGGATAACCTGTATATTAAAATATTTTAATTTCACAACAACTTTCTCTAACATCGACAGTCATTAAACCTTTTCCAACGGAAAATTTAGATATAATGTGATACCTAACAATTTTCTACGCTAATTCGCAAATATTTTGTGTTGAGCAGTTGGGAATATATTGGTAAATGTTTTGTACATTACAGAAAAAACCAAAACCAATGTTGTCGTGCTAGTAACATTAAGCCATCTACGAATGTTGTCCATCAGGCATGTGGTGAACAGATAACAGTAAATTACATTACATATAAATATTGTTAAGTAAGTGACGGTAAACATTTTGTTATCCACTTAAACAGCTTGAGTTTTTAGAAACCTCTTTCCTATTATATAGAACACATGCATGGAAAGATATCAACCTAAATGACATTTAGTGTAGCATAATTATATTAATGATATACCAACATAAGTAACTGGTAACTGTTACACAAAATAGTTAGTGTTAGACTAGTACTGATTACCCATTAACCAGAAATGTAACACAAGACAGCATCACACCAAAAACCAGTTTTATAATAAATAACAAAACATCAGGTTAGTAATGGCAAGTTACAATTGACTAAAGTAATGATAGTGGTCAACAAGTAACCAGCTATGGACTTATGACTGACTGAAGTCATGATGTCATATTGGTCAATAAGTAACCAGCAGTGGATTAAAGAGCAAATTATAAGCTTAGCTGTCCAAGTTGGTCATCTAGAATACTGTCAGCAATGTTGCTCATCCTTAGATAAACAACATAGGTTTACAAGTGATCTATTTCAACAAATAGTAACAGCACATTTTATGCTATTCATCCATATTTAGTGAAACATACATTCAATGATTATCTGAACTCTCGATCTCCAAATTACATCACTTCAAGTGATCTGTTATTACAATCAAAAACATTATTAACAGCAAGGACACCCAACAGAAGCTGGATGTATATTTAGTACCCATCAGCTGGTGTGTCTGGTACATATATAAATAATAATATTGGTTTTAATGTGTGCACTGTTATGTACAGTTCAAAAGTTTTCAACGATGAACTTACTAAATTAAATTACAATCTGCAAAAAATGTTCAAGATAACTAAGAAACAGATGGTTGCATGTTTAAGATTCAGAGAAGTAATATATTCTAAGTTATAAAGTGGTGAAAATGAAAACACAGATTTAAAGAAATACAACCATGGTAAAGAAAATCTCCAAATTCTGCTGATAAGTGTTTTTATAAGCATTTACATACTGGATAAACTTTTTACTATAACTACAAATATCAATATTTCACAAGAAAGTTGTGCCTAGAATATAATCGTAAATTGTAGATATAAAACATTTTGTTTCACACTTTTGTTTATAGATTTTCATTTTGAAACTTAATGTTACTTTCCAAACTCCAGCAGCTTATACAATACTTTTATTAAATGTTTGAAAATAAACTATTTTGGAAAAATAAATTTGCACCAACCTTTAAACTACTTTTAGCACTTGAAAAACTTGGCTAGTTTAAAAGTAAAAGATTGATATTTTGTAAAGTTCAGCTCAATTCTTCAACTTTTGAAATATTATGTTAGAAGAAATACACAATGTAGTTTAAATTCTTACTAAACCTAACAAAATAACAAACATAAAAAGAGATAACAATAAACATAACAAAGTGATACATAGTAATAATAATAATAATAACAAAAAATATTGTTTCAATAGTAAAGTAATTAGTCTTATTTTCAACTTCTGTAAAACAATGCACAAAACTCAACTATAAATCAAACTTGTATGTGTAAGGGCTACTAAAGTAAATCCAGTAACAGTAACAAACATGGAATCTTCCACAAATAAGCCAAGTACCCTTGTTATAATTTCTGCCATCTCTCAGACACTTAGATGATATGATAAAACCACATCTTTTGATAATTCACAGATGGAGAGGACTGGAACAGTAGTGCCAAAACCAGGGGTAGATTGGAGTTTAAAAGTAGCTCAGGAGAATTATTTTTATATTGGCCTTACAATAAAGATGGGGGAAGGAATTCTTTAATAAACACTGAGCAGGTTGCTACACTCAGTGCTACATAACCCATAATACATATAAGTACTATAAACACATTTCAAAAATTCAGCAAACTTACACTGCACAAAATTTTTTAATCCAAAATACAATGTTTACTTTATTACGCTGACTACTCATCTAAGTAAAGTATATACTTATGTGGCCACAAAATTATACGAGTTTAAACTAATTCACCCCAAAATAATTTCACTGCTCACCTGTGCTACAAGCCATTAACTGGGCACCTAATGAAACCCAACTTAAATGGTATTTATAAAAAAAGAAAAAAATTCACAGTTTGTCCGATGAACTGTCAACCCACTGGGATTTTCCCTGGTGTCCCAATCCACCCCTGGTTGAAATACAAAGAGAACCAGAATAAATAATAAAAGTGAAACTATATGCCAAGCCTGAAGTTTCTACGTCAAACACGTTTCAGCAAGGCTACCAAATAAACAACATTACATGTACATTACAGTTAAGTCACGCTAATAAAAAAAATTCATGCAATGTCTTGTGGATCACACTGAAGAAATCTATGCCTGTAGTAAATATTTCTGCCTGTAATCACTGTAAAAATGACAATAAATACAATTATAATATCATATTTCTAGATGAATTTTCTCAATGATTTACATTTTCTTCATAAGCTTTGTTCTAAATCTGACACAGAAAACATTTTTATAACTATTTGTCTCTTTATGACAAAAATAAAACTGACCTATTGGAATGGTTTCAACTTGACAAATTAATTTTATGCTTTTACTTCTTATATATTTCCTCTCCAAGTTTACCCTTCCATTCAATTGTCCTCAACTAATCGTTCTACAACACATACATTCACTGCTTTAACTTTCTGTGAGGTTGGCCTTGCATAGCTCTTATAAATGGCCTAAATGAAGACGTACTGCCAGTAAGTAACACAGTATTAGTGCTAAGAAGAATATCAAATAACCAGAGATACAAAACAAAACAGAAATATCCGTATATGTTTACAAAATAAGTACATATTTACAATGTAATTCTACTGCTAAACTAAAAACTAATATCCTGACATAGATTAAAGTTTCCATTTTTTACAGAACTGTCTCGTTACTGGGCATATGAAGAATGGACTGGTTTCCTGCATTAGGCATTTCCACATTTACTCTGACCTCCTTCTCCGGAAAAGGGTCCAGAATGGTCAGTGGCTGGTCTTGAGCTAGTGTAAAGGATCTCTGTCGATGGAGAGGAGAATGAGGAGGTAACTCTGATGCATCCAAGGTCTTAGTTGTTGTGACATACAAGTCTTCACTGACAGATGAAGCAGTGGTCTCTATTGAGAACTGCCGCTGGAGCTGGTGCCGAGGATGATACGGTGAGGGCAAACTCTTTGATTCAGCTACAGTATAACTTTGAGACCGAACTCTCCTTCCATCACTAATCCCACCATCTTTCTGATAGCTTGCTGTCTCGACGGGTGGTGCTAGCGTCTTACAAAGGTGAGCCGGAGACACCAGTGGTGTCTGTTCATCGTCAGTCTCTGAACCATCAGGTTCCTTGTTGTATGAGCTATGATGTTTTTTCTTGATAGTTTTAAATTCTTTCTTGGAAGGTGAATCCTCAGAGAGTGAGGAAGATGAGCTTGAAGTATTTTGAGAATATTTTTCTCTCTCAGTTTGCGACACTGCAAGTGGGGAAGTAGGTTTCTCTTTCTTTACTGAAGAAGAAATTGATTCTTTACTTAAAGAAAATGAGTGTATGAACTTATTTTTCAGATTATGTAATTTATCCATGCTGCTTGAGGAGGTAGTAATTAAGCTCGAAGGCCGATCCCGTAGATGTTTCCCTCTGTTTGAAGAAGATGGGCCTACTTTAGTATGTTCAGTTGTTGCCATCTTGTATGGGTCACCAGGCTCATGTAGGTTTAGAAACAATATTTAAGAAGTTTTTGTAACTTTATTTACTTTTGTGGTTATTCATTTGTTCCGAAGTCTTGGAAAAACAAAGTTAAACTATTACAGTTAGCACTTTGCTAATATGTGTTCATTTACTTATATATATATGTTTGCTGTTGGTCATCAACAGCCTGTACTTACTATGTATTTTCTTCTGTCTAACTATTTTTCTGTTCATCGTTTTTTTTTAATCTATAACATGCACAGTCGCAACATTTGTGACTAGATGGCACTAATGCACTATCTTTAAAAACAAATTCACTGACAAATATTTTCTTCACTTACACAATTAAAGAGACTCAAATGTGTTTCAGATGTACATGTTCTTATTTAGAGGATATTTTTATGTTGAAAAACTCTACTGTACATTTTCTAGTATAGTATATTTTTATTTAAAATGACCATCACAAGTTTTGGTACTAAGAGAACCAAAGGATTAAAGAGAAGGTATGTCATTGAATCTAACATCATACAGTTTATGAATGATGAATTAATTGTAAATTTAGGTGACTGTTTTTTTTTGTTTTTTTTCAGGCCAGTGTACATGTCATGTTCAGTACCTGATTTGGAGTCTGCTGTCCCCACCCACCAACAGCAGCAAATTTATCCCCAGTGTTCAGTCATGCCCTATTTGCTGGATCAGAATGATTCCCAGACCTTACAGTCTCAAAACTCCTCATGGTTAAACACAAGCCTGCCTTTAGAAAAGGATAGGAGAGCCGTGTGGTGGAGTTTTTAAGTACATTACGTTTATCTCGGATGGATATGTGAAACTCGCTGGTACACTGGCCACACTTTCATTTACATCTGACTGGCTATCTTGAAGACCCTCTTCAGGGTCCGACATAATTGGACTTAGAGGATTTGGGGAATGAGTAGTGACTGAAACAGAATCTCTATGTTCGCCCGACTGATATTTTTCTTGTAGGGTATCTTCCTGGGCCTCTTCATTCAATGTCTCTAGAGCTCCAAAAATCATCGTCTCTTCCATCGTAACCTATTAATAAAAAAAAAGGAGTAGATAAAAATAATTAAACTTCACAGGCAATAATTTTCATAATGAATGAGATGAACATTAACAAATCGTTTTCCATTTACAGGTTGGTTACAATGTACCCAACAATTTTAAACTTCACTTGACCCGCAAAGCACCTTTAGACTATATCTTAATTTAATCATAAAATGCATAGTTTTTGGCTTTTCTCTGCATATAGATGCTTGATACATTACAAGTGATTAAATTAATAATTTGAGTAATAATTAATGTTAGGGATGCACATGTACCCAGCCAGATATTTGGCCGCGGGCCGGGTATTGGACTAGCCGGTAATACTCGTCTCCAGCCGAGTGTCAGAGTTAAAAACAGCCAAATCTGGGTAATTGAAAATGGCAGCTAAGTCCCTAATCTTTGTGGCAACTTACGCAGTACTGAAAGTTACAGTCAATAATTGGTCTAGTTAAAAAAAATGCGTTCTGATCAACAAAGAGTGGTCGCTCTCTGAAAATCGGGAATTCAGAGAACAATAGGAGTTAATAATAAGCATGGCTTGAGAAGTGGATTTCTGGGGAAGGTAGGGGGTTTGAGAACAATAGTGGTTAGGGTTTGAGAAATTGGGGCTAGGCATTGAAAGTTGAAAGTAAAACTTGAATGTTGTGTTGGTGAATATTCGCAGTATAAGCGTAAAAACGTTAATAAAGTAACAACAAATATCTATTAAATTTATAAAGTAACAAATATATATTAATTAGGGATGCACGGATAGTAAAATTTGGCCGAATACTGGGTTTGGGTACCCGGTCACTAATAAACAAACACAAAAATTAGAAACAAAAACAAAATTGACGTTTATTACATTTAACTGAGCTAAAAATGGCTGCTGCTATGATTTTGCTTTGTTTACGAGTTTTTTGCTGTCCTAATTTAGGATCTTCTTTTTATTAAATTTTTTTAAATGTTAAAAAAGAGAGAGAGAAAGGGTGTCGTCGTGATGGCTCCTGACGCTCTTGCTTACTAACAAGTATTGATACACAAAACATTCAAAATTGTTAAAGATATCATATTTATTCATTTGCCACTAGATGGTGTTAATAAAATCTGAAAGCTACCCACTAGGATGTGTCGAGTAAATGTCAGGTTTAAAGTGGCACTATTTGTTGCTATGAGGTAACTTTTTAAATAGCTCCCCAGTGACTCAGTGGTAAACATCAAGGCTTAAAACATTAAAATTAGCTCATTGTGCAGCTATGCACCTAACAACCAACAAAACCACTTAAATAAAACGTTATAATTGTAAACATATTATTCTTAACATTTTAAACCAGGTCTCTTTACAGTACATAGATACAAGTTATTACAATCTTGAGTCATAACACTGTATCGTATTTGAGTTTCTTTTCCTTCCCTAGTAAGGAAACAACTCATTTCTTGCTACCCTTTAAAATCAGCAAAGCAAGTCTCAATTTTTTAACTTAGATAGTGTAATATCTAATTCTTTTTAAACTACAGATAACTTTATCTTCTTTCTAACTTACACAGCTAATTATCTGTTATTAATTTTTTTTATTTATTTTCATTTGAACAGAACTAGCCAGAAAAAAGGTTCTAGAACTCTCCTATATTTTCTACAACCTTTTCCAGTTGTTACTCCATCCCACCCCATGATCATTCCAATCCAAAAGAGTCCCTCTTACAATGTTTTAAAAAATTTATCACGTAACAACACAGAAAAACTTTAGAATTAGATTACATTCTTACAAATATGAAATACCTTGATTTATTTTCAAGATAAAAAAGTAGTACAAATTGAGTATCTTGTTTTCTCTGGAAATAATTTCAGTGAACTATGAAAAAAGCACTTGCATTGCTGTTTGTAATACCCTTCGATATGTTTTCTTTTCACTAAAAACACAGAAAATATGAAAACACTCTTCAATCTATTATATACAAGACTGATATTTGTGGAGTAATAATATAGATAACTTAGGTAAAGTGGAGTAATAATATAGGTAATTTAGGTAAA